CCATGTGATTGGTTGATTAGATAATTGCATTAATGAGAAATTGAACAGGTGTTCCTAATAATCCTTTAGGTGAGTGTATATGTGTGAGAGATCATAGACAGAAGAATGCAAGCAGTGGGTATTAACCTAAAGAAAACTGCTGGCTATGTACAGAGTCCCAATAAACTGAAACGTCTATTGGTGATGTTAAAAGGAGATTTTTATTATTATCTTTTCTAAAAAAGCAATGACCTAACTTTCTGCTTATGGTCCATCTACTATTTCCTTTGGATACTCAGGATATCACTTGAAGATGAAGAGAAACATAATATTTTTGCAAGGAATCCTATTCTCCTAGCATCCTACAAACGTTAGCTGTTTGGACTTGTATGCTTAGACACATAGCATGACTGGGGATTGATAGGTTGCAGATATTTTAGGGTTACCTGAGACTTCATTTCAAGGCTGTTGCAATGCCTAGTATTCCATGCTGTCACAGGAGTAGATAATTTATGACTTTCATGGCAACTGCATGCAAAACCCATGGACTGGAATCGAGGCAGACGTGCCAAGCAGACCAACCCCAAAGCATGCTACGTAGAAGATGTGACCTGCCCTAATCCTTCATCTCTCCACACTCATCAGCCTCCACATAAACTCATACGTCAACCAGAACCCTTTATCGGCTCAACATCCCACAAAAAGGCGATTAATCATACGTGGGAAATTAGTCTCACCTAGACATCAGTTTTGTTTCTGTTTGAATACAGCTGTTCTCCAGCTGCAAACAACTCCTTGCATAATATCTCTGACCATTTCTGTTTTTTCAGATTTCTGCCAGAAATCTTCATCTCCTGCTTCGGAGCTTCTGGCTCCACTTAACCCTCCATGACGTCTTTCGCTGAAGTACTGCCCTGGGTGAATGATGACTCCCACAGTCCTCCTGCTCTCCCTCCTCTTCCTCAGAGCACCTGCCCAATTTAACCCTGAGGTTACGCAAGGCAGGGAAACCCAGGCAGCCGGCTCCCTCGAGCCCGTACGGCCGCGGTTCTGTTTATAAGAAATCTCTGCATTTTCCATGTAAACCCAGAGATTTTCGGTAAATCACGTCAGAAACACGACTGTTCCATTATCGGACCCGGACGTGTGACGTATGTTCTCGCACTTCCCATAAAGCGATGAAGCATGTGATTGCGCCGTCACAGCAAATAGCTCATATTATCCGTCCCCCACCCCCAATTTCAGAGATGTTTTGTTTGATAACATACCCTGGGCCTGTTCTCAGCAAAGCTGCCCCATGATTGTGTGGCAATGATTGAATTTCTGTTGTTTTATTAAGGATTGAGACAAAACAGCCTGCGACTGAAATGGGCCCTTAACTTGCGCTATTATTTTAACAGCCGATGTTGTCTCACAGGTAAATGGGGGGTTGGGGAGTTCTGTTAACTTTCGACCAGCTGACTGTTTTGATTGTCATATCCCATTGAGAATAAACAAGGAGGACTGTGTAAAAGAGCCTAACATGGACCCTCTGCATCTACAACACTCTGGTGAGGCCTGAAAGAGTTAGGGGGTGTTTAGGGGAGTGTGTCCCTCTGGCAGATTCATGGTCGAGCTACAGTATGTCCTCCAAAGAGGACGGGGTGGCAGGTCTTATCCAGTAAGAGCCTCTAAGGGCAGAAGTTGAGCTGTTTGGTGATATTTAGTCGTGCTCTTTGCTTTTTTTCCTGAGCAGACCACATCCTGGTGAGAGAAATATGTAGCAAGATCAAACATCTACATATTATCATTTAAAAATGCATACATATGTAAATCAGAACTGCACATGTGTTGTACTGTATATAAGGTTAAGACTGAATGTAAGGTGGTATTTACATCTCTGAGGTTGAGGGTACGAATCCCAGGACTGCTCTATGTGTATGGAGGTTGCAGGTTCTTTCTTTGTCACGCTGGGCACTCTTTCCTCCAGTCTGAGGACTTGTGGCTGAATTGGTGTCTCTAAAACGCCCCTGTTCTCTGTATGTTTTCGTGCCCTAGCGTGGACGGACTGCTTAGTCTCAGATTACATCAGACAATATCAAGGGCTCTCAATGACGATTCAGATCACGGCGTTCCCGCTCAGATCTGGGCGCTACGCCGTCTCCCACGTTACAGGGCTTCCCATTGCACCTTGTCATGCTGGGTAAACACGCCCCTCCCATGTCAGACAAGCCCAGAGCCCAGATTTTGGATCCGGGTCGCTGCACTTCAAGGGGGAAGATGGTGAAATAACATGATTTATATATAATGTTTATTGTTGAGATGTTAGCTAATCCTCCTCCATACCCTCGCATTGATCCTGAAATGTTCTGACACCCTGGGATGGAAAGTTGTAGGAACAAAGGAATGGAAGGATAGATAAAGTCTCAAGGCTGTCTATTTTGCCGCCTGTTTATTTTGCCGCAGTCTCTCGTGAAGCGGACGAGTCGTGTCGGACCCAAACCTCAGTCATGTGTTTACGGCCACCGGGCCCTTGCTGCAGACGTGTCACAGACGGACCACGGGCCAGTATCCGCGACCCAGATTCCCTCACCGCAGCATGTTGGGAAATGGGAGTCTCGTTTCGGAAAACAATCCGCCTCATAATCCGCTAAATCTCGGCGTTCTTGGACGCCCGCGCCTCGCAGCCCATTTGCTTAGTGACAACATCGGTGTCTCGTTGCATTGGAGAGCATTAAAGGCAGAATCCTAGCGCTATTACAAAAGCACTTGTTTACTTGTCCTTTAGGATCTCAGATCCATGCACCCTGAGGCTGATATTTCAGCTCAATAGCACAGCCCTTGCTCCATATTAAAGCCATCTACACATCCCTTCTGCTGAAAGGGGGATTTAGAGGCCGCAGAAGAGCCAGTGCTGAGAGGTATCCCATAATTCTCTGCTGTAAAAACTGACCTTTTTTTCAGAAATCAAAACATTTTATTGCCATTGTACAAACATAGCAGAAATGCTTATGGTTACGTGTCAAACATGTAGTACAGGACAATATTACAATACACACAAAACTAAAGAACACAACAGAAATCACATATTTACTGGAAACAGTGCAAAGACATCTTCAAACAAATAAGTTTGCATAACAGTGTCATGCGCAAATGACTGCAATTTGCAAGAGAGACTCTGTGCAATGGGGCGATTTCACAGACACAGAACAGACCAATAAACTGAAGTAGTACAAAAACAAAAACAATTGTTCATTGTATACTGATGATAGGCCAAAAAGGAACATGGAACAGGAGAAAGGGAAGAAGCAGGAGCCAAATGCTAGCCAGGTTAGCCAGCAGGACAGGGATACTGTCACTGAGTTACCCTGAGGTTTGGCCTACAGTAGACACCCAAGCCCGGTGTCTAGGCTCAGTAACACTTGGCTGCTTTTTTTTGGCCAACCAGGAACAAAACCCAGGTGGCACACGGTACATGTGAACCCACAGAACAACCGCGGTTGGGTGGATTTCCCAGGTGGCACTGTGGTTATCGAACAAGTCACAGAAATGTTGGCGAAGCCACAAAACCCGGAATCCAGAGAGCGTTTCTCATACAGTTACAAAGCAAAGCTTCTCTCTCAGCCCTGTCTATGTGTAGCCATGTAACTATGGCTGGGTATTCGAGTGCCAACATGCTCTCCTCTAATTCCCCTGTCAATGCCCTTCAGGGTTATAAAGAGATTTATGTTTCTGTAATAAAGCAAAACTATTAGTGTGTTTAGAAGCTCAATTTGCACCTAAAAGACACCTGTGTTAGTTAAAGAGTCCTGGCACAAACAGTTAAAAGCTTTGTCCAAAATATGTAAAAGCTATTTTACTTTTTCACCATCCCACAAAGTTTTAACTGATTCATCCGTCACCTCTTCATCGAGGTTTATTTTGCAATCATTTCTCGCTCGCTGCACACAAAGCATATTATGCAAACGCATAACAAGTCGTTGACAAATTAAGGAGCCGTGTGAAGCAGATGGGAGTGTTCTTTCGCGTGATGTCTGCAGGGAACTCAGTAAAACAATAAACTTACTGCTTTTATTGAGCTACAGCATGATGAATTATATAGACCGATAAATGTGATGTTGAAGACCATTTCACTGCAGGCAAATTGAGCCAAATTAATTAACATGTAGAAGGGGAAGAAAAAAAAAAACACAACTGAATACAAAGGTTCTCTTCAGGAACCAGCAGAGGTTGCCCCTGGATACCAGATGAAAGACAGCTCGTATTCGTTTTCATTTGACCAGATTATTTCTGATGAGTCAGGTGGGCTTCTGCGGGAAAGTGACCTTGCCAAGGATGATGGTACCGACGCAAGTCGGAATCTGATTGGCCGGTTACAGGTAATGCTGGATTGGGGAACTTTCAGAGTCAAATCTGCCTTCCTCTTGTTTTCCCTCATGCACCTTCTGGTTTCCAGTTACATGCCCACCCCACCCCCACATCTGGGGGCGGCTGCCCACTCACATCTGTTCGCAAAGCCGACAGAAGGCTGTTCCTGACTGGTTTTCGGCGCCGTGGCCTGTGCGGAGAACCCTTTGTACGGCACGTGCTTCTCTCGATCACGGCGTTTTTGTCAGCCTGTCCGTTTGGACCGTACTCTCGGTTTTATTAAGGACAGCACGCACATGCAGATGCAGGCGTGCGTGGGACTAGCACACGCTCACTCTGTACATGCTGCACGCGCTCACAATACCCATGGGCCCAGACACACGCCAGAGTGCTCGTACGCACACGCATTTCCAATTTCCTCTGAACGTCTACATCAGCATTTTAGATTTGTTTTCATACCACGGTTCCCCTCCACGCAAATAAAACGGGTGTGAAACTCCCACCAGGGATAGGAAAGGTAAACAAACCGCCATATAACTTACCCCTGCCTCAGAAACCAGCCATTCAGACCCCCGAGAAGCAAGTCCAGACAACCAACATAGATTAGTCTGGTCTGACCCAGTCGGTATCCATTCAGCGATGCGGTTAGTGCAAAATAAACATTATTTAACTCCAACAAACCATAGCTACTGAAGCAGTACCTGCTCAAGGTCATCGTATACCACTTATACCCCTTCTGCTGTGGAACTGAAGGGTAGAGCACTGTATAATCCCAGTCTACCCCAACCATCTAACCATGTTCCTGAGATGCATCAAAAGCATGCATGTGACACATGAAAACCTGTTAAAAAATTACCCTGAACCACAAAAGAGGCTGCAGACTGATTAATTTAATTGGACAAATGAGGTACTTGTAGCCAAAATGACACAAACCACAAGGTAACTACTATACTAACTGTGCTGGGATGTAGCATAGCAAGTAACCTGCTCGACATATACTGACTGACGTCACATAGCGTAGCAGGATTCGTGGTGTAGCATCCAACCAGACGCTGGCACCCTGAAACATGTTACCAACCACCCTGTAACGTTTCTGCAACACACAGCCGATGCCCAGCACCCCTGTAATCGTTTCCCTTCCAGCAAGGCAGCATTGCAATGCCCGCACACATGCCTTCATGGAGGGAAACTCAAATATGATTTCATCAGCCATAAATTGCCGACATTTTCCAAAGTTTCAGTGCTCAGGAATGCTCCTCTCTGACTCCGCCAGCTCTCCGGCTCGCTCACACACATGCACACACACATCCGCACATGCATTCCTCTCATGGACAGTCAGCGCAGCCGGTCCAGAGGGGTTCGAACCGGCCCAGCTCAGCTGAGGCCCAAAGAGCATAGTTCCGGCACAGCTGTGGGCCGCCTGCTACAGAGTGATGTCTAAACACACCACGATCACATGACTGGACTTTTCAAAAAGAGACAATCAGACACATGTTGTCATGTCATGGATGCCAAACCTGACAGGGTTCAAATCCCAGGAAGTGCTCTACTGTGGATGTAAACAAATGTCAGTCGATCATTCTCATTTTCGTGTGTAGGACAGGCAGTGGAAAAAAACAACAACAATGAAACATGGCCGTTTCTGAGTGAATAAATTGAGGTTGACAGCAGAGACTGACCCAAACAGCAGCTCTGTCGTGGTGATAAATATATAGCACCTCGGAGAAGACCCTACAGAGGCTACTGAAGACTCAGCCTCTCTTCCACTGACCTTTGCTTCTCTTCCACTTATGTGTAATGCTTCTCTTTAGCCATACATTCTAACTGAAAGTGACAATTTTTGTGTTCTCTAATGCAATTAAACTGTTGATGTATCTTTAATCATATTTGCATCAATTATTTATATGCATACGTACAATGTTAAGTCGACATTTCCACATCGTGGGGATTAGGGGAGCAGGCGTCCCGCGATCTGGAGAAAACATGTAAAATTTTTTGGTCCCCTTAGTGAGTGGATCGAGCGAATTGAGTGAAGCCAGCGGCATAAACAGAGACCAGAAATGCGAGATACGAAGATCACTACGAGAAATCAGACTTGGGGTGCTCCAAACCAGCACTGTACATATATTTTATGAGTTACTAAACTTTTTGTGTGTCGTCTGCTGGCCGTCGCGTGTCGTCTGCAGCTTTTGCAGAACTCCCTATTCCGTGTGTTACGCCGACCC